ATGGTGAAGGGAATGGTTTCATTTAAACCTGGTAAGACTTCGATAAACTGATACAAAGTGAAGTGAGTAGAACCAGGAGAACAATTTATACAATTACAGCAATATTCTAAAGATAACTTTGAAATAATTAGGAACCCCAGTGAACACAATGATGAACTGTCACTCCAAAGCACCCATGGTGAAACATGGCATCCCACCTAGTACAAAACAAAGCATATATTTTTCTCTATTTATCTTGCCTTTTGTTTTTTTCTTTGGACATGGTAAATACGGGAATTTATTTTGTATGTCTCTGCATATTTGTAACAGGCTTTCTTCTTGTTTTCTCAGTGGGTGGGGAAGGAGTAGAGGATAAGGAAACAATTCTGAACTGAAAATACAGTTAATCTGTCATGATAAAATTCCTGATGAAGCCATAGTGGTTTTTTGTGATCTCCTTTTTTCATTCAATTTTATTTTGTTTCCCATTTTACTAGGCTGATAAATTAATGGAATGCTCTGATTATAGTTTATCTATAAAAGATTTGGCTGTTTCTCATACTATTCTTGTTGAGAATATCGCAAATGTGATACAGAAAATGAGTGGAACAAGATGGGCCAAATGGCCTGACTTGAAGAATAGTCATTAATGACTTACTATTTGAAGCAGTTCACCAGTGAAATTCTCCAGGGATCTCTGCTTCTATCTGTGATATTTAAAATTTTTTCAGTGATTTGGATAAAGACATGGATGGCATGCATGTTAAATTTGCAAATGATATAAAAGTGAGAGAGAAGGGATATCTGACCCAACTTGGTGGCTCAGTGGCTTGAATGCTGGACCTGGAGTTACGATGACCAGAGTTTAAATCAAATCCTATACACTTAATAGCTGTGTGATGCAGGCAAATCACCTAACCTCTCTGTACCTCACTTTTCTCACTTGTAAAAGGAGAATAGTTTTAGCACCTACCTTACAGAGTTATTGTAAGAACAAAAAATTAGATATTTGAAAAGATATTTGCAAACCTTAAAGTGCTATATAAATGCTAAGTATTATTTCAATTGTTATTATATAACTAAAGATTCCAGAAAATCTTAGTAAGTTAGAATGTTGGACACTAATAAGATTAAATTATAATAAATTGTAATAAATGTAAGGTTTTACTCTTGAATTCAGAAAAATCATCTTTACCAGTACAAGATAATAGAGAGATCATCACAAAAAGGCTTTTTTCTTTTTGTGGACTGCTAACGCCTTGTGAGTTTACAGTGTGATAGGCTAGCAAGGAAAACTAATGTGATGTTAGTCTGTATTCATTCAGTTAACTAACAAGCACTTATTAAGTGCTTGCTCTGTGCCAGGCACTGTACTAAGACTTGGGGATACGAAGACAGGCAAAAATATAGAAACAGTCACTGTCCTCAAGGAGCTTATATACTAGTGGTAAGAGTAGCATGTAAATAAATAGGTTTGTACAAGATACAGAGTAGATGGAAGGTAGAGGGGAAGCTGCAAGTGGCTAGGGGGCCTGAGAAGATCTCCTTCAAAATGTGGCATTTGAGGCATTTCTTGAAGCCAAGGATGGTGAGGTGGAGGTGAGCAGGGATAATGTTCCAAGCGTGGAAGACAGCCTGTGCACAGGAGCAGAGACAGTAAATGAGTGTCATGTTGAAGGGAGAGCAGTAGGCCCATGTGACTAGACCAGGAGAATGTATGAAGGGGAGTAAATGGTTAGAAGACAGGAAGAGAGGAAAGAAGTTGTGAAAAACCTTAAATGCCAGAGGACTTTATATTTGATTCAAGAGGTGATAGGAATAATATTTATTGAGAGTGGGTAAGAAAGTGTGACATGGTCAGACCTTTGCCTTAGGAATATCGTTTTAACAACTTTGTATAAGAGAGATTGGAGTGGGGAGATTTGAGGCAAGAAGACCAATTAGAAGACTCTTGTACTGGTCCAAGTGAGAAGAAGTGGCAGTGGCTTTTTGAATGGAGAGGTGTTGCAAAGGTAGAAATGACTAGACTTGGCGATAGACGGGCTTTGTGGGGTGAGTGTGTGGAGTCGAGGAAGATGCTGGGAGACTAGCAAAGATGGTGGTATGCTCAATAGCAGGAAGGAAGTTCGGGTGAGGGGAAGGTTGAGAGGGAAAGATAACAAGCTTTGTTTTGGACATGTTTACAATTTTCTATCGGATATCCAACTCAAAATGCCCAAAAGGTAGTTGGAGATGTGAGACTAGAGATCAGAATAGGGGCTAAGAATGGACATGTAGACCTCAGAGTTGCTTGCATAGGTGTGATAATTGAATCCATGGAAGCTGTTGAGGTCATCAGGGAAGAAAGAGAAAGAAAAGAGGTTTCAGGGCAAGTCTTGGGAGACCACCACATAAGAGAAGCATAGGTAATATTCACTCCCCAGGATGGGGAGTGAATCCTGCTTCATTGTGCTCTGGTCAAAACACATTTGGAGTGCCATATTCAGTTCAGAAGCCACGTTTTAGAGAGAATATTGATAATCTAGAGAACATCGAGAAGAGCCCAACTAGGAAGATGAAGAGAATTCAGTTCATGTCATATGAGTCTTTATTATAGGATGTGAGAATATTGAGTCTGGAAAAGAAAGGACTTAGGGGGCCTTATAAGTAGCTTCGCTAAAGATAGAATCACTGAATTTTCAAAGTTGGAAGGGAGCTGATCAGCTATCTATTTCAATGCATACTTGTAAGAGAATCCCCATTGCAGTACACCCAATCCATGGTCATCTGGGTTTTGCTAGAAGACCGCCAATTAAGAGGAACACAGTGCCTCTGAAGGCAGGCCATTCCATTTTGGGACAGTCTTAATTGTTACGAAGTTTTTCTGACATAAAACTGAAATTTACCTCATGCAATGTTCATGTATTGCTCCTGGTTCTAGTCTCTGAAGCAAAACAAAAAAAAAGACTAATCTTTCGTTGTAGATATTTTTTGAGACGGCCATCATATGTACCCTAGTCTTATCTTCTCTCTGGGCTAAATCCTAATTCCTTCTGTAAGGCCTGTATAGACTTCAGCTCCCTTTCCCTTCTGGTTGTCATTTTCTGAACATTTCTTAGCTTTTCATTGTCTTTTGTAAGCTATGGCACCCCAGCCTTAAAGCAGTATGTAAGCCATAGTCCAACCATAGTAGATTTTTAGCTTTTAGCATTTGCTATGTACCTGGCCCTGTGCTACATGCTAGTGATAGAAAAGAAAGGCAAAAATGTTCACCACCCTCCGGGAACTCAAATTCTCATGGAGGCAATGAACATGAAGATAACTAGGTTCATAAAGACAGAGCACATCCAAGGTACATCAAATGGAAGGCACCCTTCTACCTTCTTCACCCTGCTGAAAACTTGGACTCTATCCCCGAATGTCTTGGCTCTGTAGATGGCCCTTTACCTTGTCTTTGAGGGACCCTCTAGTTCCTGGATATCTCCAAGCTGACGTTTAATCATTAATTGTTACTCTTTTAGTTTCTAGTTCTTTTAGTTTTTAGATTCAGATCTTTCTAAATACTAACAACATAGTCTGAATAGCTTTCATCTGAAAAAGGGTTTAAATTTGTTCTATTTAGCCCCATGACCACTGTTTGGGTATGATGTAGAAGGAATTCTGTCCAGGTATGTGTTGGACCCTGGTGGCCTCTGAGGTAGCCTCCCAACTCTTTTATTCTATGAATTTGATCAGACTTGTCCATTAGAAAGATTATTCTGGCAAGTAATCTGAATCACTTGGATTGGAATGAAGCTAGAGGCCAGGAGACCAGTTAGGTGGCTGTCATGCTAAAGCAACAGTTAATGAGAACCTGAATTAAGGTGTGTGCAGTGAGAATTGAAAGCAAGTGATGAATACAAAAGACATGGCAAAGTATAATTGAGGGGAATTGCAATTGGATGTTGGGGAATAACAGAAAGGAATGAGTCAAAGATTAATCATCAGATTTTGAGCCTGAGTGATTGGAAGACTAATGATGTTATCAGAAAAAAATAACGTACTTAGGAAAAGGTACAAATTTTTATGGGAAGATACAAGCAATATGCTACTATGAAGAGACTGGATTTAGAGCCAGAGGGCCTCTGAGTTTCACTTGGCTCTGTTACTTACTGTGTGACATTAAGTAAATCACTTAATTTCTCCTTGTCTTAGTTTTCTCTGTGAAATAAAGTGGTCAGGTGAGATGATCTCTGAAGTCCCCTCTGGCTCTAAATCCTGTGATTCTATCCTGAGTTCAGTTTCTGATATATTGAGTTTAATGTCTTGGTGGCCACATAGGCATCCGGAAATGAGGCTCGTGGGAAGGTTAGTTCTGAGTTGAGTCTCTTTAAAGTGTGTTCTTTCCCTCTTTCCCTTTGCCTCCACTTGAGTTCACCATACCACAGCTACTCAGAGATGGTTTTTTTATACTCATGAAAGCCACATGGCTTTGATGAATTTACAGTTATCCTTTGTAATGCAAAAATTTGGTATTTGTTTTGAAATTTAGTTTGATCTTTAGGATTGGGGGTAGGATGAGGATATAGAGCACCACTCTGCTCTGATTAATGCTGTTTTTGCTCAGCAGAAAAATAAGTCTTACATGCTTCAGATAGAAAAGCTCAGTTTAATTAATACTTGTTAAATGAAGTACTCAACCAGTCAACAAACATTTTTTAAGCACCTCCTGTGTGCCAAGCTCTGTGCTAGGCCCTGGGGATACAAAGACAAGGTACAAACCCATCTCTGTTCTCAAGAAGCTTGCATTGTGAAAGACAGATTAGTGTCATTTTTATATCACATATATTTTATATCACATCACTAGAGAATGGACTACATAGTCCATTCTTTTTCTTCCTCTTTTTTATATGAAAACTCTCAGTAAATTTAAAAATTTTTTATCTGAATGTTTAAAAATAATCTCAAAATATATTTTATTTTATTATATATATTTTATATGTTATATTTATTATATTTTATAATAAAATGAAAATATAACCTTTTTCTGTTTTTTTATGTAGCTGGTTTTTCATGAATTGCAGCTATTTGCATTTGCTATTCTTGCTATTTTCATTATGAGATTGAAGCTATTTTTGACACCTCACATGAGCGTTATGGCTTCCTTGGTCTGCTCCAAACAGGTAAGGTAGTTGTTACTTTTGTAACTACAACTATGACTAATTATCAGGGTTTTGCTGAGTTGTCCAAAACAAAAAACAGTATGGAATTACTAAAAATTAATGTTTTCATTGCAGAGGCATGTCACATAAAATCACCTCAAGGAGGCTAAAATGTTTCAGGTTCTTTTTCTCCCTAGCTACCAATGCGTCACAAACTGTGGTTGCCTCTTCAGAATGCAACCTTCTAGAATTCAGATTGTTGTTAAGGAGCTTTCTGAACAATCAGGTTTACTTCCACAGTTTGACATCTAGCTCTTAGTAATCCTCGTCAACTGGCCCTAATACCAGAAATTTGCTTCTGCCAGGATCCCTAGGAAATGGTGCCAATGCAGAGGCTTCTTTGCTGTTTCCCATTATCTGGGCAATAGGGGATAGCAAAGAGTTGTAATCACCAGGAAAATGCTGCTGCATAAGCATGATAACTGGTGTGGCTGGCACTGGGGAACAACATGGAGACCTCAGAAGTCAAGAAGTCCCTTACCTGTGGGTTCCCCCAGCTTATGCTAGGATGTTTGGCCACAAGGATATTAAAGATTTAGTTTCTGAAATATTTCTACCCTTAGTCGTTTGAAATTATATTCCACTGTATTTCACTAGGTCCTCTGGACCAAGACATGTTTAGAAATATTAAATATTCTCTAATCTCTTAGTCTTCTAGTAGAAGATTAATAAGCCCAAACTTGAATCCATCATGAACCCCCAAATTACATTTGTTTTCAAAGAAGAGAATAAGACGTAGTATATTATATTGCATCTTGGGTGGTCTGCCTTGGCTTATAAGATAGATTTTGTCATTGGCTCCAAAGTCCTTTGTACTTGAATTATAAGTGAGTGACTTCTTTCATTTCAGCTCTTTGGTCGGTTCTTTGACAGAGTTCGTTTTGAGAATTTTGTCTTTGCCCTTATAGCAGTGATGTCAATTCAAGGTTGGCTAAACCTTCAGAGTCAATGGAGCATAATAGGAGAGTTCAATAATGCACCACAGGAAGACCTTCTGCAGTGGATCATACACAGCACCAGATCGGGTAAGGGGAAGGAGCATCCCATCTCCTAGGGCTTAAACGGCCTCCAAGAAGAAGGGGCTGCGATTAGGCATGACTGTGAAGTGCGCCACTTCCGCTGTCTGCTCTCTCATCGCCACTGATAGCACCAGGCCACTTTGTCTGGACCTGTGCTCGTGTGCCACTGTGCCGTGTGGAATACATGCTTATATGTGCACAGAACACAGCCCCCAAATACGCTGGGGACAAAGGAATCTGTGATTTTCATATTTATATCTCCGTTTAAAAATATGCCACACAAAGTTGATTAATTATTGTTTGTTGAAGTTTAATTATGCCCCGACATTTTACAAAATATCACAATTCTCCATCCAGACTAGTCTTTCCTGAGGAATACCTTGTATTCTGGGGCTCCTTCAACTCTGATCCATTACAGAATTTTAATATGTTATTCCTCACAGAGATGTCTCCATTTTAGTATAGATCAAGGACAGTCTAAAAACATGAAGTCATTTCTACTCAATTAGTATTTCTTAGCACTGACTGTGTGTTAGGCCCTAGGAGTATACATTAGAAATGAACAGGTCCTTGCCACAATGACTTTACATTCTATGATAGTGGCCTTTCAGACTAGGAAGGAGATGTTTTTGGAGGAGAACTTCCAGTTTCCCTCAAATCACACCAAACAGGAAGCTGACTGTGCATAAAAATAATCCTCTTCAGAGGTGTTAAAATCATAGAAGTATTAGGAATTTCCATAAAAACATAGGACCTGAAAGGGACGTTAGGTCCTCAGTCTGTCTGGTCCAACCCCCTCATTTTTCAGATGTGGGAAGGGAAATTTGATAGGCTTCAGTTTTCTCTGTCGTATAAGGAGGATGGCCTTTCAGGAGAGACAGCAGAGGCTGAGGGTGTAGACTGTCAGTTTTGCTTAATTAGTTTTCCTTGTCACAAGGAAGGTTTTAATGCCAGGGGTAGAGAAACAGATCAAGAAATTACTGTTTTGTCAAAAAAACCAAAAAAGATCAATAAAGGTTTTAAAATAATGAAAAAAAATATGGAAGTTGAGCTAGCTCTCCAATATATATGTTACTGTGAAGTTCAGGGAAGCCAGTTTGCCCAAGGTCATATAGGTAATAACTATTTAAACAGAGGTCTTCTTCCTGAAAATCCACTGTTCTCTAGTATCCCACACTGATTTTTGCATTGTGGTATAGTACAGTTATTAGATTCTTGAAGGCTGTGCCAGTGGATTGTAAACTCTGTCATATTCAGTTAGGCTTCAACTGTGAGCCCAATGACTATAGGCCTGTTGTCCAAGGACCACCACTAGATTAAATCTATCACTCAATTGAACAAAGAGTGATGGATTCTTTTAGCCCTAGCAGCTTCCAGAAAGCATACAAGCCAATGGAAGAGTTGCAGTCTGCATAATGCAGGAATTACTTGTCTCAAAAAAACTACTTGTCCATGAAGTATTGATATATATGTGCAAATACACACACGCACCTATGTGTGGGTAACAGGCCTTGCACAACTCGTGTAAGGGCCCCTCAGTACCACCCCTAGTGTTATCCTAATTTGGGTATTTACCTCTAAACGCATTGCTGGCCCTTACTGGGACTTCTTTTCCCTGTCAGTCCCCCGGTTCTTCTAGCCCAGGGTTGGGGAACCTGCAGCCTTGAGGCCACATGTAGCCCTCGTGTGCGGCCCTTTGAATCCAAACATCACAGAACAAATCCCTTTAATAAAAGGATTTGTTCTGTAAAATTTGGCCTCAGTCAAAAGGCTGCACCCAAGGACCTAGAAGACCACATGTGGCCTTGAGGCTGAAGGTTCCCTACCCCTGGTCTAGCCTGTCACTTCTGCTCCGGCCTCCCTTCCATCTTAATCTTCATTATTGTTCAGTCGTTCAGTTTTATCTAACTCTTCATGACCCCGTGGGCCGTAATGGTATGCCCATACTGTCATGAGGTTTTCTTGGCAAAGATATTGGAGTGGTTTGCCATTTTCTTCTCCAGCAGATTAAGGCAAAGAGAGGTTAAATGACTTGCCCAGAGTCATACACTTTGTAAGCATCTGAGTCAGATTTGAACTCAGGTCTTCCTGGCTCCAGGTCCAGTTCTCTGTCTCTTGAGCCACCTAGCTGCCTCTTTCATAATCTTTATCTTGTAGTTAATCAGTTCACCTTTAGGTTGTCAGAATCACAGGATTTGACGGTTGGAAGGTACCTACCTCGGCAGCCATCTGGTCCAGTCTCTATGTGAAAGGAATGCCCACTAGACCATACACATGTGGTGATCATCCAGCCTCGGGGTGGGGGGGAAGTGACAGCCTCTTGAGGTGGCCCGTTACACTTTTAAACAGCATTGATTCTCCTATCCAAGGTCATAGTATCCTCTAAGACAGTGAGGTCAAACTCAGATAGAAATGAGGGCCATCAAACTGTCCATATTATTAATACATCACCACATTAAAATAAGATAGGAACTACATTTTGCTGTGGTTCAGGCTGTACTTGAGAGTGATGTGGGCCACATGCAGCCCATAGGCCATGTGTTGGACACCTCTACTCTGAAACATCTCTGCTAAGAGGTCATCTAGCCTGTGCCTGAATATTTCCATTGATAGGCAACTCACTGTCTCAGACCGTTCCACTTTGGGACAGGTGTGATTGTTAAAAAAGTCTTGTGTTGAATGGAAATGTGCCTCATTATATCTTTCACCCATTAGTCATTCTTCTGACCCTGGAGCTAAACAAGATGAAAACTGCCCAGGAAGATTGCCTTTTTTTTTTAATAGGGCAATTGGGGTTAAGTGACTTGCCCAGGGTCACACAACTAGTAAGTGTCAAGTGTTTGGTCTGAAGCCAGATTTGAACTCAGGTCCTCCTGACTTCAGGCTGGTGTTCTATCCATTGAGCCACCTTGCTGCCCCGAAGATTGCCTTTCACATCTGTGACTTTTCACACCCCCTACCATCAAGTCACAGGATTTCAGAGTTGAAAGGTGCCTCAGGGTTGGTCTCATTGAAACCATACCTGAAAAAGGAATTGTTACACCACCTAACTACCCAGATAGTTGACTATATCCACATCATTCCCTCATCTATTTGTTCAGTAATCCTGTCCAAAAAATGAAGCCACAATATCCCCCATTCCTTCAGTCAGCTCTAACTAGGCATGAACTTATAGCCCATCACCATCCTGGTTGCATTCCTTTAGATGGGCTCCAATTTATTAATGTCCTTCCTAGAATCTAGATCCCCAACCTGGACATGGTGCTGCTGGCCAGAGAAAAGTGCAGCAGGCACCCCACTTCCTCCTCAATGAGAGCTGTGAGCCTTTAGGCAGCTTATGATCACATTTGTTTTCTTGCAGGCGAGAGCTTGTAAGGGACTAAAGGTTCCAGATGCTTTTCAGAGAAACTGCTGTTTAATTGTGCCTTCCCTATCTCACACTTGGCAAGGTGTAGTCTCGTTAAATTTTAGCTTTTTCAGTTTGGCCCAGTGATCACGCTCATCATGATCTTTTTAAATCTCGACTGTGTCATCCAGTGTATTAGCTTCCTGCTCCAGCTTTACGTCCTGTGTCAATTTAGTTAGTGTGCCATTTATGCCTTTATGCAAATGTTCGATAAGCATGTTACATGGCACAAGGCCATGTACATGTCCTTGGGGCACACCACCGGAGACTTCATGCAAGTCATTGCAAATGAGTGCTGCCGCTGAGTACGCCAGGTATTCTAGAGGAGCCTGATTTAGGCCAGTCCAGGGATTCAGATTTAGGATTGAAACGTACTGAGAACAGCCACGGACTATCAAATCTAATAAAAAGGATTTTCAAAGGACATTTTAAATAATTGTTTAAAATAGAGACGGTGCCCCTCCTCCTCCTAATGCACTGCTACAGCTATGTTGAATCAGAAAGATGTCCCACAGGAATCTTTAAAATTCTGCCACATCTCTAGGACATCAGCTCCCCATTGACTGACTTCTTTCTGTTCTGGGCACCAAGGAATCTAGGGCAGTGATTCGAGCCTCAGTCCTCCAGACTAAGTAAATTCCAAGGACAGTATTTGTAACCTGCAGCCAGGAAGGCATGGTTATAAACCCTGCTTCAGACGCTTACTAGCTATGTGATCCTAGGCAAGTCAGTGAACCTCTCAGTCTCAGTTTCTTTATCTGTAAAGTTAAAAGTTGGATTTGTATTGCCTTTAAGTTCTGTTTTACCTCTAAATCCATGATCCTCTAATTCTTTAAATGGATGTTATTTTGACCACACCTATGTTTCCAAGGATTTTTACTGTGAGTAAATGTGTGTTGTAGTTTGTCCAAGGTTTATTTCTGTGTGTATTAATAAAATCATGTGGTTTGAGGTGCATTTGTTTTTAATATGATAATTATGCTGTTTCCGCCCTAAACTTGAGCCACAGTTACACCCAGTCTACTTAAGTAGATAGAAAGACAAATTGGTTTCTGCCTAACATTTCTAGCTGACTTCAGAGATCAGTGCCATGCTCACCCAAGGTGTGTCTCAGGGCTTCTGCGTGCAGTCCACACCCTGGTGGATGGAATCTGCGTTCCTGGAGTATCTTATGCATTGGGACACTTTAATGTGAGGACATTTCTAGGATCATTTTGTATGAGTTTTGAAATAGGTTAGATTTCTGTCTACCTGAGAAAGTTAAGGATAAACCCTATTGAAGGCATCAAGATGATGTCTCAGAGAGGCTGTCTGAGCCTTTGATTTTATCGCAGTTATAGTTAACTTTTATTTTATCTTTAACATATACTTTAAAATACTACTTTTTTTATTTGGGAATTTGGAATTTTTATGAGTTAACTTTCGATTTTCTTTAAGGAGTCATCTTTTAAATATCTAATCTTGTTTTTCAGATGCAGTTTTTGCAGGTGCCATGCCTACAATGGCAAGTGTCAAGCTCTCTACACTTCGCCCTATTGTCAATTACCCACATTATGAGGATGGAGGATTGAGGTATTGAGCATTATTCCAAAACTTAGTTATCATTGATAAGAAAGACAGGGCTGTATCAGGAAGGATTTAAATCCTTGGTTACAGGAAAGCTTCATTTCAATGAGGAGCTTTTTATAAGGGTTGATAACAAATTGTGTGTTGTCCTGGCATTAGGAATCCTGGCAGAGATAGTGCATCTTCTCCCAGCTTATCAAGAAGGCTGCACCATCACCCTTTTACGTGTATGAGTTCATGGGAGGTGAGCATTACGTGAGGTCACAGAATAAAGAATTGGAGGTGGGCATAAACATCCCACACCTGCTTCTGATCGAGGTATTGAGACTCGGGAGACTGTGAAGTGGCTACAGCCTGTAGGAAGGCCTGTGTAGATTGTTGACTTAGTAAGTGTCTAAATTTGGATTTTTATACACGTTGCACTTGGCTGCATATTGAGATGTCTGAGGAAAATAGGTGATAGTGAACCGAAATCTTATGAACATTAAAGGTCAACCAGATCTGACTCATTATAGCACTTTGATTGATTGAACTTCCAGGTAGTTTGAAGCAACTTTGTGGTCTACATGCATGATAGGGCAATATGCTTCCTGGAGATGTCTGTGGTGCTGATTACAAATATACCTCAGATTTTGTGCACGTAGGTCCCAGGGTATGTAGTAGGGAGGGTAAGCATGGCCTGTGAGAGGATGCTCCTCTCCCTCAGCAGCAATATTTGATTCACCCATCTCCATGATGAATTCTTTGTCAGATCTACTCCATCAAATAGGGCTGAGGTGAAGTGATTTGTCAGGTCATTAACTCCCTTCTGCCTCTGTTGTGCACTAGAAGAAAGTCTTGAGTTGCTGCAGTTGATTGAAGGTCCTGGGTTAATGCACTTTTAATGAACTGCCAAGCTAAGGAAAGGTTGCATGTTTTTTGACCTTGAGTGGATCCATACAACCATTTGGCCCAGAAACTTCACATTCTTCTCAGACTGGCATTTCTGAGATTTGGCAAGTAGATGGTGCTAGCGTAGGTTCTGGAGAATGACTGAAAGGGGAAAAAAAAAGAAATAGTGGGTGGGATCTCAGGAGTAGGCAACAGTGTTGTGAGACAAGGCATCTCTACAGGCTTCTGATGTCAAGTTCATGAGTCATTGAAAGGTTTAGTGACTGTGCCAGGGCTGGAAAGTCTTCTCCTTCAGTTATCCCTCTATATCTGGAACAAATTGTATGGAAAGAGGTCCATCTTGATGAGTCTGCCCCTGCCAACTGGTCTGTCAAGTCACGGATCCAGGGGTAGGAACTATTCTTTCATGATGATAATGCCAATAGTGGCAATCTAATCACAACAGGGTCATAATTTCCCATTTTTCTTTTGAACAAATAGCACCTGGGCATCTAATAGGGGAGGTAAAGGGTTTGATGAACCACTTAATGGAGTTATTTTTTAAGAAATCCCAAAGGGTTGTGGCCTCTGTCCTGGCCAGTAAGTAGGTCCAGTTTTGATAATACAAATAGCCTACACAGGACAACTTCTGCTTCAGCTGTATTAATGTATTTTGAAAATCTTGGTAATAGGGAGAATTCTGGCCTGGTGTGCAAGCTTGGAAAGTGCTCGAGAGTCCAGGGACTGTTGGTGGGATTCAGTGCAAAGGAACAGAGGCAGGTCATTAGTTGTGTCCACTTAGGCTGATTCATTGTGAATGGCTGTGGCTAAGAACTAGAAAAATTAACTGACTTCGGTGGCTGTATTCTATGTCAAGGGCTGACTTAGATTCCAGAAAGAAGTAGCATATTCTGCCATGGACCTTTTTTTGTGCTGGATGGTACAATGGATAAAACATTTGGCCCTAGGCTAGCTAGAGAAGGTGAATGGAGTTTTTGCTCAGGCAGTCAGGTAGCTTGATCCCAGACTGGAGTTCCAAAGTTAGAAGGATTAGTTCTCTCTGTGGGTGTGTGTGAATGCTAATTAATACAGTCCATCATCAGCCATCTTGAGAGTGGAACTTTGAGGAGAAAAGCAATTGGCACTAACTTCAGAGGAGTCTTGCTGTCAGCTTCATGAGTTTGCTTCTCCAGTCCTGCCCACTGCTTACTTTTCCACCTGGAACCACATCAAATAACCCATCTAGATCGCTTATTAGAATTTCATGGTGTCTTTAATGAGTACCCAGTAGGTGGTAGGTCAATAACTAGACAATATTCTCTTTAGCTTCCTAAAGAAATACTCTCACTGAAATAATCTTTAATGTTCTGTTTTCAGTTGTATAATGGTTCAATTTGAAAAAAAAAATGCTGGGGCAGCTAGGTGGCACAGTGGATAGAGCTCTGGCGTTGGAGTCGGGAGGACCTGAGTTCAAATCTGGCCTCAGACGCTTGACACTTACTAGCTGTGTGACCCTGGGCAAGTCACTAAACTCCGATTGCCTTACCAAAACAAAACAAAACAACAACAACAAAAATGTTGATTTGAAGAGTATTTTGTATCTTTCAAGAATCAAAAATTTACCATCATGTTAATTAATGTCCTATATATCAGGACACACATGTTTAAGTCCTCCTAGAATTCAGTGCCAAATAAGTATTTCTCCAGATTAACTTAATGTTATTTTTATCAGATAATATGAGCTTTCTAACCCAATATGTTTCCCTTTTTATTTAACTGCCAGAAGGCTTAAAGCTAAATTCTATGCTTAGCTACAGTAGTCTGTTCTTATCTGTTGCTCCGTAAATTTATTTCTCGGATCTATAAATTGATTTTTGTTTTTATTTTTAATTGTTTCATTTTCCACGGGCTTTACATTTATGTTTTCCCTCAAATTTTTTTAGAAAATGAAGAGGGATAGGTGTAATGTTTAGTAATTTTGGTAAGGTAAAAAGTAGTTTTCTAGGTAATAATTGATTGTAGAATGTACCCCAAATTCAGATGTTACTCTTCATTATTTACTATTTTGATACTCTACATATTTACTATATTTCAATATTACACTCTTCCCCTCTCATATAAGCAACTAGATGAGAGATTAGAGTAGATAGAACATTTATTAAGTGCTTGCTCTGTGCCAGGCTCCCTTGCTAAGCTCTGGGAATGCAAATCCAAGCAAAGATAAAGCTGGTCTCTGCTTTCAAGGAGCTTCTGTTCTGATGGGGCAAGACAGCACATACAAAGGTTGGACTGGGAGCGCCCAGTGCGTCGGGGCAGAGTCCATGGTTGGGAGCTGAGTCAGGTGAGAAGTGAGCGTGGCTAGCATGGGTATTTCCACTGGAGGTTCCAGGAAAGAACTTAGCAGTGAGAGGAGAAAGAAGAGTGTGGCCAGCGAGAGCTGAAGGGCTAGTTCTTGCCGGGCAGCCCTTCTTGGCCTTGAATTCAGTCGCTGAGATCCATTTGGGGCAGCACAAGGCCCCTGGAGCACAGTTCCACGGCACGGTCCACTGGAAATCTCCTGCTGTTGACAGTAAACAACTAGCTCTTTGAATCGTTGAACATTTACTTGTAATTTCTTCATGTTGTTATAAAATTCTCTAAAATCTTTTAACCTGCTTGTGTTTAATAGGGTCAGAACTAAGATAGTTTACTCTGTCTACAGTCGACAAACAGCTAAAGAAGTAAGAGACAAACTATTAGAATTGCATGTGAATTATTACATTTTAGAAGAGTCGTGGTGTGTTGTAAGGACTAAGTAAGTATTCATGCCACCTCTTTTTTGAATGATAAGTTTGATTTTCATGTTGACAGAGTTTCATAATCAGTTTTTTGAAAGTTATTATTCTGTATTAAATTAATTGTGATTATATTACTCCCAAGTATTTCTAGGTGAACACAATCCATTTACTTGGTAGTAGATATCACATAAGTAGATACAATTTCCAGATGTATTATCTATGTTTTTAGTAGCCTAATTTTTCCTTTCCATTTTACGTTTAAAGTTATGATTCATAGGAAGCGTTCCCTTGAGGGTGAAAGGAGAGTTCATGCTGCTGGCCCAGCTCTAAGCAGTTTATAGTAGGAAGATGTCCCTAATTAAAACAAAGAGTTCCAGGCTGTTTGCAACTTACATGGTGTCTCTCGATTAGAGAGAAAGGGGGAAGACCTAGACCACATGCTCAAAAATGGAATTTAATATCCTTAGCTCTAAAGGTCCCTGCGTGTTTATCCTAGGATTTGATGAAAATCATCTACCAAAATCCTTAAGCCAAGAAGTTGCATTTCCCTTTGTGGATAATTGATTTTTTAAAATAAAGATCCAGAATATTATATGCAGAATGTACTTCATTTGTACACAGGAAAAATAGCAAACTAGAGCTATATTTTAACTAATTTGTATTCAAATAAATATAAAATATAAAGATAAACTGTGTTTACAGAGTTCTAACTCTCACAGACTTGTAACTTCATAAAGCCATAACCATCAGCCTTCCAGGAATGAACATCAGGGGTAAAATAAGAGGGTAAGGGCTAGAGGATGTGGATTGAAGAACAGGCACAGGTAGCAACTTTCTCTTGTATTTCCACTTGTTGGAGATTTTTATTAGCACCCATCATCTACTCAGAGCCCTAGGACTCCCTCGGCAGTTAAGTGGTGTACTGGTTAGAGTATTGGGCCTAGAGTCAGGAAGCCATGAGTTCAAATCCAGCCTCAGGTGCTTACTAGCTTTGTGACCCTGAGCAGGTCATTTAACCCCTGCTTTAGTGTTCTCATCTGTAAAATGGGGATCAAAATAGTACCCCCTTCTCAGGATTGTTGTGAGGATAAAGTAAGACAATATTTGTAAAGCTCTTTGAAAACCATTAACGTGTAACTGTTAGTATATAAGTACTATATGAATTCTAGCTGTTACTGTTATTCCTAATCCTTTGTACCATGTGTTAGGATAGGAAATAGAGTTGATTTGCTTTAGAGTTCTGGTTAACTGTAAGCTTAGAGCTAGAAAACTGGCCCAAGAAAAGATTTGAGGGTATTGAACCAACGTTAGGGTAATCTCTGGTCTTATGGACTCCCAGGATCTAAGACAATTTGGTTTACTTTATCTTTTTTAGAATTAGCTAGGGGGCATAGTTCATGGAGCACTGGGTCAGTCTGGTTCGACTGTAAAGTGAGAACAATAATAGTAGGGGGGCTTTAACGTCTAGAGGATTGATTTTATACTTGATCCTGGAGATTTTAGGGAGCTACTGACGTTGATTGAATAGAGACTGTCATGGTCAGATCTGCAGTGAGGATCAGATCTGGGCTGTGAGCTTGGGGGACTGGGAGGATGGTTGTGTCCTCCACAGGAACAGACTTTTGGAAGGAGGGAAGGTTTAGGAGGAAAGAGAATGAGTTCAGTTGGAGACATCTTGAGTCTCAATATTCCTTTGGGATATCCAGTTTGATTGTAGATGGCTTTCTCAAGGAGTTTTCCACAAAAGGGAGGCGAGATACAGGATGAGAGCTAGCAGAAATGCATGGAGCCCAGTGAGGGATTTTTGAGGATGGGGAAAAACATGAGCATGTTTGTAGGAGGCAGGGAAGCATCCAGAAGAAAAGGGCGAGTGGGAATGATAGAGGGGAAAATCTGTGAGAGAAGATAAGATGGAATGGGCCTTGGCGAGGAGAAGGGCCAGCTCTTCTCTTGAGATAGGGTGGTAGAAGGCATCTTCATGATGGGAGATGAAGAAGGAGCTCTCAGTAGATGACTTCAGTTTTTTTCCATGAAATATGGAAGTTTCCAATATAGGTGTTTCCATGAAATGCCCTCTCAGCCGAGAGAATGGGACCAGGACAGTGGTGGGTAACCTGCAACCTCGAGGCCTTCTGTGGCCCTCTAGGCCCTCAAATGTGGCTCTCTGACGGAATCCAAACTTGACAGAACAGATCCTCTTCGTAAAAGAATTGAGTCAAAGGGCCGCATTTGAGGACCTAGAGGGCCACATGTGGCCTGGAGGCCACAGGTTCCCCACTCCTGTACCAGGGGAACTGTGGGAGGTTTGAGAAGGGCTGAAAACGGCTTAGAAAAGCTGCAATGGTGAGTGGAACTGTGAGTCAGTCAGGGAGGATTCCTGCCACAGTGAGGATGCAGCTGAGATGATGTAACCTAAACTTGTCAAGGATCCGGTCAGCATAGTTTTCTGGTTTTTTCCATCTTCATTCAGCAGCAGGTAAGCAGGCAAAAGCAGTGGTTGTTGGGAGTAATGAAGGGCTGGGGCTTGGGCTGGGCAAGAAGGGTCAGGGGTACTTGAGAGAAGAGGGGAGTGTAGAGTGGAGCTGATCGTCCAAAGGAGTCAGGCTGGAGAAGGGAGAAGAGTGTAGCCTGTGTGGGGCCAAGAGCTGGGGGGCCAAGAGCTGGGGAGCAAAGGGATTGTGTGCCCTGGTGAGAACAAAGGACTGTTTCTGCCTTTAAGAAAACGATCCTGAGGACAGCTAGGTGGCACAGTGGAGAGAACTCCAGCCTTGTAGTCAAGAGGACCTGAGTTCAAATCCAGCCTCAGACACTTGATACTTACTAGCTGTGTGACTCTGGGCAAGTCACTTAATCCCAATTACCTCAGCAAAAAGCAAAACAACAACAACAAAATAAAACAAGGAGCTGCTCGGTGGCGTAGTGGATAGAGCTGTAACTTTGGAGTCAGGAGGACCTGAGTTCAAATGCGGCCTCAGACACATGACACTTGCTGTGTGACCCCAGGCAAGTCACTTAACCCTGATTGCCTCACCAAAAAAAAAAAAAAAAGAAAGAAAGAAAGAAAGAAAACGATGCTGCCTCTCCCTGGATTACTTCCTTGGCAGTGGGGGATATTCTGGTGTGCAGGCCCCATCAGTTTGTACTCTTAGGTGTGATTTCTTGGCGTTCGATTGCTTCAAATGTAAAACCAGTTGAAACCTCATTCTTACTTTTCTATCCCTTGGGCTACAGAAAGTGGCCAGGTTTAGTGCCTCAAGTTTAGAGGGCGACAGAACATATACAACCAAATCAATACCTCACGAAGAAAGTGATTTTTTTTCTTTTCTATCATTTTTATTCATCCTTTACTATGATCATCAGGACATTTCCCATTATTTGAGTAAATGATACATGTCAGCAAATGTACTTAAATTCTACCTTATCCCTATTAAATGTTAATGTTAAATATTAAGATATGAAAAAAAAAAACAAGCAGGTTTTTAAACAAACATTTTTGCTTTACTGAAATACGCCACTTAGAGATAATTGATCATTTGTGTTTTTTAAGACTTTGATGTATATTTTTCACATTTGTAACAACTATTCTCCTAGGCCTGGTTGCAGTATGCTTGAAATCTGGGACGTGGAAGACCCTGTGAACGCTGGCAAGCCTTCCTTGTGTAGCATCCTCTTTAAGGATGGCAGGCCTTACTTCACCTCCGTGTTCCAAAACAGCATGTACAGAGTCTTGAGAGTGAACTAGGGAGGGTGTGGCCTCACCGAATGCACAATAGGCAGAGTGTCGGAAATGGTCCTTGGTCTGTTCTCTGGCAGTGGTATTGTTTAAAAGAAAATCGTAAGATGTTATTGGAAGTGCTTTTAAGAAAGAAAACATTTTTTCAATCATTTAATTCATTCTGATTAAAGATAAAATATTCATTTTTCACATTGCAGAATCAGCCTTTGTTATGTAAAAACTAATTTGTGACAAAAACTTGTTATGCAAGTGGTTATATGTTCATATGCTACTTTGACAATTGTTCTTAAAAGTTTTGAGGATAGCTCTCTCCAAGAAGAACAAAGACAATATAAATCTAGAATGTAAGTTCTTTTTTGACCAAATAAATTGCTTTGGATTTTCTTAAATAAAATTTGAAATTTTTTGCTTCATTGCAGACTCTAGGGGACCGGCACAATACTGCACAGTGTTATTTGGCATTTCTGTGTTGATTGACTGCTGATACTGATCACACGTGGGTTACCTCTGTGAGGAACTTAATTTTTATAACCACATTTCTGTGAAGTTTGGTTTTCCTTTTTAAAGTAACCAAGAAGACTCTTAAATAGATTGGAACAAGTTTTCGTCATTTTTAATTAGTTTTTAATACACCTTTATTCACACTAGAGTGAATCTCTTCAAACATCTATAAATCTTCAAACATCAAATGAAAAACTATACATAGGTTTTTATTAAATATTAAATTATTAAATATTTTCCTCATTAATACCCAAGTAGATTTGAAACATGACTAAATTAGGAGTGGGGAATACAAATTATCAGAAAATGAAAAAAGAAGAATCAACAAAATTTACCAAATGGTCTTTTCTTTTTTTTGCTTAAATTTCTGGATTTTGGACATGGTAAAAAGGTGGTCATTTTACTAAGACTATATCTTCTTGTACATCATATTTTCCCCCTCTCTCTTTTATCATACTACATATTTGTGTTTGGTTTCCAATGAAAGCACAACTTTTATAAATCTTTCCCCTGTCCTTCTCCACAAAAACAAAAACAAAAAATGCCCTATTTTAAGCAGCTTTTAGGCTTTTAAGTCTTGACATTATTACCTACTAGCTTTCTCTTTTCACTCCCCTTAGCTGCTCGTTAAATAGATCTGCACTGTTGGTAATATTTCGATATATACCCCTACTTCTAATTCTTATTTATCTTTCTGTTTTAATAATTAATATTCCTGGCCCAAAATTCTTTTGATGGCAATAAGATATAATTTCATAGATGAATTCACGTGTAATGTGTGGGAAGAATAATAAATATTTCATTGATTTCCCCTGAGTACAAATGCTTCTAATTAGAATTTTGACACAATATCAAAAGAGTGCCATGAGATCAACTCTACATTTTAACATTTAAAAATAATGCTTCTGGCTTTAGTGCAGTCAATGTCAGAGCAGAGGAGGAAAGGAAGTATCACTGATAGTTATCCAGCTAAGTCAGAAAAGGCACTTACAACGTGAAGGAAAGTTTTTGAGACATCATAAAAATTAGGAAAGAATTTGCAAGACTAGCGGCACAAGATGTAATGAATTCATATGGATTTTGCATCAATTATTTTATGTTCTATATGTTGAATAAAAAGAAAATCTGAAGTTTCAGTGTTGTTCCATTTTTTCCTCTCTCCTTGACTAATGGTGCCGAGCTGTAAGGCAGGATTGAAGGTAGGGCAGGGCTGAGCAGGGGACTTTGAAGAATGGGAAGACTTTGGCATGTTTTAAAGCCATAGAAAAGGAGCCAGTTGGTAGGGAGAGGTTTGAGATTCTTTGTAGGTGTGAGGCAGACAGTAGCTTCGTATCAGCTTCTATCCATCAGCCGAAGAGAGAAGTTACTTTTCTACTCTGATCTGCCTATTAACATCTTTCCCATTCTTCAGAGATCAAGTAAAAAGCCTTTACTTTTCTATGAAGTCTTCCCAGATATAGCATTTCTGAGAGATATAGGACCAGGAGTATGGAAATATTGTACACATTGTTAGACACAGTTGATAAGTTGATTGCTTTGAAGGGGATGGGAATGAATGATTGCAGATGCAGTGACCTAGAGAAGCTGGGAGGGATTAGAGCCAGTGTACCTGTACAGGAGGTAGCTTTGGCAAGGGAAAGAATCAGCTCTGTCAGAGACTGAAGGAGATGGGAGAGAGTGAGATGTGATTGCAAGGGCTTTGGAGATTGAGAATGACAGAAGCTGGAGCTTCTGAGACCATTTCAAATCCAGTGGTCTCAGTTTTTGGTAAAGGTAAACAAAGTCTTTTTTTATTCTATTATTTTGTAAAATAAAAATCTCTTAATGAGATTGGGGATAAAGAGGTGTGGGGGGCTGTGAAAGAAAAAGCTTGAAATAGCTTCTGCGGGTGGTGAGATAGGGCAACAATTAGGACTAAAAGGACTGCCTTGCTAGAGTGGAGGTCCAGTCGAGGTCAGAGAACATGAATTGTCACTGTCATCTGTATGGATGATGGATTTGGAAGACAAAGACTTCAGGCATGGAGACCAATTAAGAGGCTATGTTTAGGCAAAAGTTGATGAGTTCCTGAATTAAGTGGTGGCTGCAAGTGGAGAGAAGGGCAGCATGGTGGTGTAGCGGATTGAATGCTGGGCCTGGCGTCAGGAAGATAGGAGTTCAAATCTGGCCTTAGACACTTACTGGCTGTATGCCTGGTCAAGTCACTTAATGTTGTTTGCCTCAGTTTCCTCATTTATAAAATGAGCTGGAGAAGGAAATGGCAAACTACTCCAGAATATTTGCCAAATGGGGTCACAAAAAGTTGGACATGACTGAAATGACTTGAACAACATAAGGTGGAGAGAATGGGACCGATGGAAAAGATGTTATGGAAATAGAATGCAGAAGACTTGGCAACTCATTAGATGTGTGGGGTAAGGGAGAGTTAAGCACTGATGATGACTGCAGCTAAGTGGTAGCAGTGGCTGGAATGATGAACCTGGAGTCGGGAAAACTCGAGTTCAGATTTGTCCCTGAGCACTTGCTGTGACCTGTTTCTCAATTTCCTCATCTGTAAAATGAGGATTATAATAGCACCTACCTCCCAGAACTGTTGTGAAGATAAAATGAGATACTATTTATAAAGTACTATATAGATGCTCGCTACTACTTTTACTGTGAGATCATGAATCTGAGTGAGTAGAAGGCTGGTCACACCCTTGACATGAACAGGAAGGTTCATGAAAGCAGTTTGCTTGAGAAAGATAATGTGTTCAATCTTGGACTTTATGAACAAAAATCTTATGAAATCTCTAGTGATATATCCATGAGGCAATTAGTGATGCAGGATTAAAGCTCAGAAGAGAGACGAGGGGTGGGTGGGTATGCACGTGTCTAAGATAATCATTGAAGTCATGAGAGCTGATCAGCTCACCGAGAGAAAATAGAAATGACAGGAGGGCCTAAGGCAGAGCTTGTCTGTAATAGAACATAATAGCCAAAACTTTCTTTCATATGCATATGTTGATATGTGTATGCATATAGATAGGCTGTCCTCAAAGTCTTTGTGTAGTTTTAGGCCACTGCCTCTGTGAGCACATGTCTTACTGCTTCTAGGTGAAAGAGATTCCTTAAGGGGATTATGACCTTGTGAGGACCTTCGAAAGGTCAGAAAGCAAGCTACCAGAACACCAGGATATGGAGTCCATGCTGGGATATTCCAGAAGCCAGACAGGGAGAAGCAGTGTCCCAAGTCACCTGCTACTCTCAGCCCAGAAGTAGCAGAGAGCTGGTTTCACCCATTCACCAGCCATGCAGCATTGGCAAGTGATCTAGGTGGAAAACTGGTAGAAAGTGCATTAAGGCCATTCTACATGTTCCATGTTTTCTGAATTTTATTTTAGTATAAGAATGACATAGTGCTAATACCATTCTAAAGTGAGTAGAAATACATAAAAGGATAGAACGTCTATATAAAAATTTGAAATGTTTATTTGCAAATTGTGAGTGCCATCTGCTGGTCACCTGATATTAAGACACTTTCTACTCTGACTCCTCTTACAAACAAAAAGGGAATAGCGGCCGACGTTTTGCACCTATTCAATAAATAAATAACTACTGCAAATGTAGAGCTCTAGGGAAGGAGACTATGTTGTATGTGACATATTCAAGTTTATCCTCGTGACAAAATAAAAGTAATTTGAGTTCAGAGAATCAGTCAGGGTTGCGGTTGGTGAGTTGGTGGTGTTTTTGGTTCTGTAGACAGCACAAAGCAGTAAATATGTTCCTGTGTAGCCGTGGTCTGAATTATCCTGAAAAATGAGGCAATACTTTTTAAAAAATTGCATGCGTGCTTGCATTGCTCAGGTAGTGTTGATTCTCTGACATTGGCCATGGAAGTAGTTGCCTGGAGAATCAGTAATTGATTCTTTGATTCATAGACTCTGGAGCTACCGTGAGCCTCTGAGATCATCCAGTGCAGCCCCCTTTTTATAGAAAAGGGAAATGAGACCCAGAGAAGTGAAGCATCTTGGTTAAGGACACACAACAGGATGAGATTAGCCAACAGCCCTTACACATCCGTTAGGTGCTTGTCACTATCCAGTGCTTTCAGAGGGTGGATAGAACAAGAAGACCCAAATTAGTGTGTAAGGTCTAGGAATTGGCTGTTATCCTCAGAGGAACATACAGCGCTATGGACCTTCCATTTTCAGCCCAATAGTTAATTGCATCTCCTTTCAAATTTCCAGAAACACTTGAATGCTTAAAGCCAGTTTTACTGTATTTGATGAACTCAGTGGTGAATCCCTATTTGGGGGATGCTTCCTCCCACTAAATCAGTTCCAATTAAAGGAAATATGTGTCAATCATTGGGAGGATGGTTTTCATTCTACAATTTCTGCCTGAAAGGGCCGCATTCTACATAAAATAAGGACTTTTTTTTTTTTTTGCTCAGGCCATGCAGGCCATGGTTAGGTGCGAAGGGATCATCTCATAAACAAGGCTACAACAAGCCAAAAGAGCTG